GGACGAACGAGAGAGGAGGAGTGCGTGCAAATGGAGTAGGAGGAAAAGAGGAAAGAGATAAAGCGAACGAGCGTGCGAGCGAATCCTGTTAACCGGTCGAAATTAAATCTCCATTAGAGCGAGAATGTATGGATTATGAAGATGTAGAAAGACCGGTCGAGACTCGTGGAGAATGATAGTAGAGAAAACTGGAGGGGAAAAGGATGAAAAAAAGAAAATGAGAGAAGAAGAATAAGGGGTAAGGGGGAGGGGGAGGATACATACAGCAAAGTTGCAGTCTTCGAAGTAAAGAGAAGTTGCAAGAAAGAAAGAAAGGAAGAAAAAGATAGAGACACATAGGTAGAAGGAAGGAATGAAGGAGTGAGTATAAACAAGGCACAGAGGTTTATCGCGTAATAAGTGCATGATCGATGCGAGCGTATAGACGGTGGGGAGGGAAAAAGTGGCGGGGGTGGTGATTAAAGGGGAGGGGAAAGGAAGAAGGAACGGGACGCCATATTGAGTGGCGCGGCGTGATCGTATTCTATCGAGTCGTTGCAAAACTCATTGTCAGTAGGATTTTAGAGAAAACGTACGGCTTCTAGGACCGCCTACTACTCGTCTTTTGCTTATCCTCTTGCTAGCTACTACGTAGCGTATGTATACACTTACATACTTCTCCACCTCTGATTATTTCCTCCAGCTAGAAACGATCGGTGTAACCCGACGCTCCAAGCTTTGAATCTACGATGAGAGACCTCGATTTATGTGATTCATAGTATTTACGTGGCCCAAGTTTGCATGCCGATTCGTTTCTTAAGTCGATTAAATCGTCGTCTTATACTTTAGTCTACGAAGAAACAGAGAGTAAGAGTGGGAGAGACTCGAATTGTTAGAGTATTCTCACATCAGCTAACAAGGAACTCCTTGTATTCGTTAAGCGAGTGAAGCGCGAGATACGCGTGTAGGTATGCCTTAAGGATTTTATTCCAAACGCGCTATACACGACGTATGTATGTGATTAGAAGACTCGATGTCTCCATTCTCCATGCCTTGAAGTTTCTAATTGCAATGTTTCTGATCATTCCCTATTTGAATTTTAATTTACTTCATGGCTACGATGTTTTTCCCGGAATATTGACAAATTTTACTATCTATTTAGCCGTATTTTATCAAAGAAATATGCAAGAATATTTACAGTACAAGATTTAGCTGATAAAATATCGTTGATGGATGAGATTCTTTTGTAGGATCGTTCAATAACTGTTACAAATGATTAATAATGCGAGTTCCGCTACTGAAATAGTTCGATCGCGATAAATTGAAATTCTCATTATCAGCTAGCAACGATCTATTATAACGATAACGATCCTTTGCTTGTTGCTAGATGGGGGTCACTATTTCTTTTATGAAACAATTTGCTTTTCCTTATTTCGCATGGTATTATGTTATGTATATTAATGAAATTGATCTACAACTTAATACAAAATGTTCAGTTTAGTATTAACCAAATTTTTAATTGAAGATAACGACGAGTGTTTTCTTCATTTCAAATTTGAAGGCATACGTGTCATCGTTATAGCGTATCGCGTAAACAGCATGCGGGATGGATCGCAGAGGGATTAATGGTGAGGAATAATTTACTCTTTCTCTCTCTCACTCTCTCGATTTGACCGTAGGGATCGCAATCGTGAAGGGGTGAATGTCGACTACCAGCAGCGCTCAAAACCGGTTAGAATTCTCCACAGGCACCTGAATGGATACCCAGATCTAAGTGTACGCGTATCGAAGCAATCTTCCAAAGTAGGCACTCGCTCTGGCAGCATGGCTTACCGGCACTTTCCCATAGACTCACTTATATCCCGTGGGTATACTTACCACTTGAGACGTCTGTGTGCACTTAACGCTCGCTTTTCCGTATCCGTCGTTACCCGTTTCGTCTCCCACAAATTTGATATTTATCCCCGGCACCAAGAATTCCCTTGCGAACTTTATCGACCGATTTGAGTTGTTGAGCTTCAGTTAGGTAGGTTGGGTGAGCCGAGAAATCGAAAATAGATATGACTCTGAGCTAATTCGAGCACCTATATGGATATCGGAATCTACTTCTACTAATCCTTCGAATAATACTAATCGCGTTGGTATAAGCGTTATGGTTACTCGACACGCAACGATGCTTGAAATTGCCAAGCTCTCGAAACTTAAGCTCGAAGTGTGTATCTATCTCGTTATTCATTGAATCGCTCCTCGCGACTATGTTTGTCTTTCATTTATCGTGCATAATCAAGGGTTGGTTAAAAGTAGACGATGTCGTCTCAACGAAGGAGATGTGAAAGTCCATGTAATTTTAATTTCTTCTACGTGACTCTCTGTTTCCTTTCAGTATTTGTATGTAGATACTTTGTATAAACGTGTGCGTACAGGTGCTCCCGTTGCATTGCACGCGATACGAGCGTGATTCACGTAATCCATTCTCTTACAACCTGTTTGGTAGAGGTCCTGCATCTTCGTGTCCATTGTGCTCCTCTCGTGTTATCGTTGAAGAACAGGATGGACGTGTAGAAATGAAACCGAGTCTCTTTTTTTTTATTGCATCCGTTATACCTACCTTACCTACCTACCTCTACCTACCTACCTAACTACCTCTTCCTTTTTTTACAGTACTTCTTTATTTAATGAATTTATCAGGTTAAAGTTATCTTTTTATATTGAGAGATCGTTTAATCGAACCTTTAGAAATTCGTTTTTGTCGTCATGTTTTTCGGCGGCACCTTCAACGTTCAAGCTTCTGAAATTTTAGTATGCTGACGTAGCGATGCTCGTACCGATTTTGCCTTCGAAGAATAGAGGATACGATGATTCAGTTGTTTCTTACCTGAACGATCGGTTGACTCTTACCAAACCGGTCTTGCTCTGGGTCCAGTATTCTTGCTGAGAAATACCAAGAGAAAAATCTTTTCTAATATCTGTAATAAAAAAGTATTTACAAAGAATTTTTCAATCTCTTAAGTCCAGTTATATGTAGTTAAAGTGTGATTTTAATTATACTATTAATTAGAGGAAGATATCATAACACGAGAAAGGGTTTTGAATCGTAGAAGCGTATTATACAAGTGGCTTTTTGATCTCGAACTCGTTAACGAAGTTTGTTGCCCTACTTTCAGCCCTCTCTTTAGGGTTAGAAGTTTCACTAGGCAATTCTCTTTCCTCATAATTTTAGCCGTTCTTACCAAGAGAAAGAGAAAAAAAGAAAAAGAAAGAGATATGAAAGAGTAGAGAGGAGAGGAGAGGAGAGGAGAGGAGCGCAAAAGGGATAACAATGAGAGGGAAAGAGGGTTGTGGAGAGTCGAACTACCTCTGCGATCAATACGGTAATGACGGCCGCGCCACACGATGTTACTATGCTAAGCGTTTCGATGTTTTATGCTCGCGATTATGCAGCACCCCTTGCTTTTTTGAGCTCTTTGAACCCGAATCACGACGGAGTTCACCCTTATCATTTCCCTTCTTCTCATTTTCATCGAGCGTCCTCAATCTGAGGACATACATATATATATACAGTAAAAGAAGAAAAATTCATATTTTATTGTCGGGTATTGCATTCGTGATGATTTCAATGATTATGAGGCGACGATGATATTCTCGTAGTAATAGTTCTTCTTTTATTGATCTATCATCAAAACGTTCATTGGAAAAGGATAAAAGGTTCGCAAAATAAAAGGGAGAATCGTTATAGCGACGGCATTGACTTCTTGCCTCGAAAAGAGGAAAAAAAGAGGTGGAGAGGGTGATATAGAAGAAGAAGGAGCAGATGATATTCGATATCTTCGAGTCCGCATAGGTCGATGCATCGAAGAGACGGATGTTACCTGCAAAAATGAAGGGAAAAGGGAGGAGGAGAAACAAAGAGTACAAAGTCGTTTTACAATGTCATTCTTAAGAAATGGAATTTGTAAAAATGTGATACCTGATAACTAGCTGTTCTCGACAAGTCGGTGCTAATGCTATCAGTCACTTTCAAAGTCGGTATCTGGATGTCGCGAGTCCGTCCTCGTCGTTTTCCTCGTTTCGCATTGCGTGGCTGCTTCAAACGAACGATAAAACTCCCTGCTTTTTACGTGCAATCAGTCGAAAAATTACTGACCTCCATACTCCCTTTTTCCTCCCCCTACTTCTTATTCCTTCACTTCATTTTTTTTCCACCTTCCCTTTTTTCTCTTTTCGTCTACCACTCTCGTTGGTAGCCGCTTACCTCGGTGCACCCCTCACACGATTTTCCAATAACTCGTTTACTATCCTTTCCCTTCGGCAACTGAAGTCTCCTTTTCTCTTGCTACCTTTCACCCCTATGGACCACTCTTTGGCAATCTCACCTCGTTACCAACCCTCGACTTCCTAACTGTTATGTCTATATATTCAAAGAGACAAAGCAGAAGAGTCGTTTCGTCGGTTGCATTTAAACGACATTATTATACCTGGTATGTCAACTAATCAAAACGTTCGATTCCTCGATCTTGACATTATCATCGAAATATCGATCATTCGACTCCTACTCTCATCTCTCTGCGACTACGTTTTCCTCTTTTTCGAAGAAACGTCGTAAGAGAAGACAAAGGGGGGAAAGAGAGAAGGAAGAAGAGGAGGAGGAGGAGGAGGAGGAGAAGGAAAGTGAGAAAGCACGGGATTCAAAGCGAGCAGTTCCATCGGTTAATTTTCTGCCAGTTCACCTTTATCGGTCCGCTTTCCTGCTCAATGACGAAGGTTTGGAGAAGAGCGAGCAGGAAGAAGAAGAAAGAAGGAATATAGAGTGGAAGAAGGAAGGGTAAAACGGCGGGGACGATCAACGAAATCCGCATGCGCCGTTCCTGGCGTTTTACGGTGGCAGCAGAAGTAGCAGCAGCAGCAGCAGCAGCAGCCAGGAGCCAGCGACGAACAGCTAGCGGCAATAGCAGCAGTAACAGCAGCAGCAGCAGCCGGCAGCGCCAGCAGCAACTAATAACCAAGAGCAGCGCAACAGTGGCGGCAGTAGAGCAGCACCAACTAAGACCGGGGGCGTCTCAAAGCCCCCTTTTCCTTTTGAGGGGGAAAGCTCGAGAAAGAGGACGCCACTGCTAGGGCCAGAGAGAGAGAGAGAGAGAGAGAGAGAGAGAGAGAGAGAGAGAGAAAGAGAGAATGAGAAAGCGAGAACCGTGAAGGGGAGGAGGAAGCAAATTAATACGGGCGGGCAAGAGGGTCCAGCTAACGAACGAACCGACGCCAAGTCTAGTGTCGACCAGCGCCGCGACGCCTTGCAATCCCACTTTCTCTCTCTCTTCCGCTAGCTTGATCGTTCTCATCCTTGTTTCTCGAAATCCATCTCGAGACACATACATATTATTATCTACGATTATTACGTATATCGTTTCTTCGCACACGCGTCGTTGATTTTTTTTCTAACGAGTATTTCGATCGACCTTCGTCGATCTACTACTCTTGAGAGATAGAACTCGTACGTCGGTTGTTTTTTTTTTTTTTAAAGGCACACGTTCACTCACGTCGATTAAGAAAATGACATCACACGCGTTACGCGGTGTTTTGTGAACGAAGGGCTTGTTGTTTATCGGATTGATACTTTGGATTTTGGCGGTGACAGTGAGAGATTAGAGCGTTCTTTTTGAGTGTTAGCATGGATGATTTTAATGGAGGCCGGTGTCGAGCGTGATTCTAAGGGATTTTTATCGATAGCTTTCCTTTTTTTCGTTGTTTTGTGAAATACAAAATTAAGGATGATCACGTTTCAACGTTAAATTGTTTTCTCTTTTTAAATGATTTGTTTATAAACTTTCAAGTTTGCTTTAGTACATATTTGTTGAAGAATCGCTTCTTTTTCCGGGAAATACAATTTTTCAATTTTGTATTTTCCTTTTAATCGACTTTCTTTAATCCGGATTATTACCGACGTCGACGGTACGTAGTTAAAATATATCGACTGATTAATTAAACGATTAAAAGAGGAACGTCCATGAAAATTAGCGACGAAACGAGCGGACGATTAAGATTAACAGAATAATTAGTAGATTTCTTCTCGTCGCGATAATCACGATAAACGATAGTTTCTCTCCTTTCTAAGAGCTGGCTCTGCCCTGTGCTCGATCTATTTTTCTTCTTTCTTTTTTTACATTGCACCGACATTTTGCAAGTAAACGTCTATCGAGATTGGAATCACACGCAATTTCCATACGACTCGACTGTGTTGATAAATGGAGAATATATAGCACATGTTCTTTTTTAAATAGCTCCTAGTTCTTAGAGTTGTTTGCGATGCCGATTCGTTAGCGCGGAAATCGCTGAGAACTCGCGAAGGAGAAGGAGAATCGGAAGGAAACGTCACGGTGTTGTCGCTTTCGCGAAAACGAGTCACGAGGATCGAGCCGATGCTCGCTTCGAGACGTTCTCCTCGCAGTCTCATTTTAATTAAACGAAATTCCGCGTGTAACAAAGGGCGGCAAGCCAGCCGGATAATTCGAAAGGGCAGATACGTGCTTCCTGGTTGGTCGAGTCGGTGGATACGGGTGGTGGCGGCGAGGGAAGAGGGTCGACGGAGGTAGGAACCGGTTCCAGCTTTCCCCCGGGGTAGCTGGGTACCGTCGAGAGATCTTGGTGGAGGGAGAGTGAGAGAGAGTGAGAGAGAGAAAGAAAGAAAGAAAGAAAGAAAGAAATAGAGAAAGAGAGGGAGCTCGGACGAAAGCGAGAGAAAGAAAAAGGCGAAGAGAAGAATGAGCGTGGATGGGAGAGGCTCGATGGATGAAAAGAGAGAGAGAGAGAGAGAGAGAGAGGGAGAGAGAGGGAGGGAGAGAGAGAGCCTCCGGAGTGGGATCGATAAAGGGAGTGTCGGCACGAGAATCGGGCATGAGGAACGCGAGGGTGGCCCTCGCCCTAAACGATCACCTTAAGCGGGTCAACGCGTTCCTCGTCCTCTACGAAAACGATAGTCTAGAACGGCTTCATTAACCTCACGTACTAGATGCTTTTAGAATAAAATTGGAAAGATCTTCCTTAGGAATATTTTCAATATGCACATTTCAGATATTTCTCTTTAATCATCGATTAAATTTCATTAAAGTTTCATTGAAAGCTGAATAAGAAGCAGTTCATACTAAAGAAGTCGTAAATTTCGTGTTACGGCTTTGCAACTAGAGAACTCTTTGTTCTCCCTCGGGCTCTTGGATTTTATCGCTTATTCTACATTTATTATGACGGATAACGTCGCCGTTGAAGTCGGCGTCTTTACTTTTTCGTATCTTCAAACGAGAGACCGATTGTTGTAAGTGGTATAATTTAAAAAGTCGGAAGAGCGTGTAAAACCGTTCGCTTTTCGTCAGAGCGGAAGCTTAATAATAATCCTCGATCGTCGTTACGGAATCGTTATACTTTGTTATTACTGCGATGCACCGTTGGCATGACGCGTCCACGGCCTTTAACTACCACGCTATTCATTAACGTCGACCGAATAAATTTATTGTACTTTAACGCGAGGCGTTTACCTTCCACGACATAAATCCATTCGATGCCCTCCTCCTTTCTCAGCGACTTCGTTTCTCTTTATCCCTTTCTTTCTCTCGTAAACCGGACTGTCTTATGCGTTCAGGTGAAGGGAACGACGCAGGTGTTTCCTCGACAACTTTTCGTGACTACGAAATATCTCAGGCAATTCGTCGCTAATGAATTTATTTCATTTTAATGGGTAAGAACATGAAACGCTATCAACAATTGATACTTTATATATATTTTCATTGTTACGAATGAGTTTAGCAAATTATTTTCAGAATCGATCGTTGAAAATCGTTTTTGATAATCTGGTTAGCGATCAAAAAATCGCAGGACAAAAGATTCTTCCTTGCTGAGTTGAGTTATCCCTACGTGACACACGGGTCGCGTTATCTTGCAGGCTATATGAAACAAGGGTGGAATTTCGAAGGGGGACGAGTAATCCTTGTAGGCGGATTACTTGGGATTTTTCTTGGCTTTGGGGTAAAGAAAGGAAACGAGAGAAAAGAAGCATTTCCTTCGAAGGAGTATGCTCCGTATTCCTAACCAAACCCTCGCTGATGACACATTGTCTTTCCTTCGGCTTTCTTCTATTTTATTTTCTTTACCTTGTGCGAAAAGAGTACATGTTCGCAACAATCTAGAGAAGATCGTTTTTCGTTTCGAAATAAAGTATGCATCTAAACAAAATAATTTCAATTCTAAACCGATATTATTTTTATAAGATAATCGACGTTCTATCGTGATATATAATAGCGCTAAATTACAAGAAAGAACAAGATCCATTTGAAAGGAAATATAGCTCTGTTCTCCCTCTCATCCTATCCAAGTACCCGTACCCTCGAATTTTATCTCCCGCTTTCACCCACGCACCTTCCCAAGGCATTGGCGCGTGTGAGCGTAACGCAAGGCACTTTGCCTTTGTACTCATACTATCGAGGGAGGCGCGGTTTATAATATGATACGCTCTCACCGAAATAATGTTCCTCCAGCAACCCCACCGACTCCATCTTTCCTCTTTTCTCTTCTTTCTCCTCGCTTTGGTCTTTTTCTTCCACGGAGTTTCTCATCTATCAACAGTTTTCTTTTCCCTCCTCAGGCCTCGCTTCCTCTTTCCCTCTCGCATGCCGTACGCTTTTCCGGGCAAGATTTATGAAATGGTACTTTGTACGGTTCCATTTTAGCGTACGCCTCGATTTACTCGGTCGGAGTTGCGTCTGGGGCCTCCCGACGTCGTTTTATTTCGAAAGTTTTCTTCTCCTTGCCGCTACGAAGATGAGAACGAGAGAGAGAGAGAGAGAGAGAGAGAGAGAGAGAGAGAGAGAGAGAGAGAGGGGCAGAGAGAGAGAGAATGTACAACTCGGGCACGCCCCTACAGGATGTCTCAGAAGTCTAATCTCCCATCCACAAATCGACGCCGTTAATCTCTCCTCAGTGTAGGCATCATCTTGATGGACACACTGCTATGGTTTTTTCTTAATTATTTCTCTTAACGATGCTGTCGAATTTAAAACCGACTCTCTTTCTCTTTTAGCCCCTCTTTCACTGTTTCTCTCCATCAGTCTCTTTTCCTCTCTATTTCTTGATGTCTTCCGAAAAACGTGTTTCGTAAGTCACGGACCGTTGCCGATTGAAATATTTCCTTGGATCGGTGCCATTATCGTTCTTGTCTGTGGGCTAAAGCAGCTCACGCCTTTCGCTCATAAGATATAGAGAGAGTTTATGTTTATTCTACTTACTAATCTTTTCGCTCGTCGGTCTCTTTATTCGAGCGAGCATATCTATTTATTCACTACCTACGCGTTATTTTACACGGGAAAATATGCTATCGGAGTGGTAGAATGTAAAACAATCCTAGATTGTGAAGATATTTCCATCGTTAAGGTATTCAACGTTTCAAGATGATTTCAAAACGTTCAGCTATTCCAAAAATTTGAAAGTCACGAGCGAGACGTCGACTTGAGAAACACGTTTGCACCATTTTTGCCAGTATTTTCAGGTACTTTTCCATTTACTTTGTTTTTTGTACTCCTTTTTCTTCTTCTTTTTGACTTCAGTCCATTACGTTCCCTTAGAAAATCATCGTTGCGTTTGTACGCCTTGTGCGTGGCACGCATGTCCAAAGAGCCCTATTCGAGATTCACTCAAGTTCTTTTCAGGGGTTGGTTGAAAGTCTTTCCTCGTGTGAGGGAAAAGATAGTATACAAAAATGGATGGATTCTTAGAGTGCGGATACGATTTTAGCGCGCCACCCTTCGTGCCACCCTTCGTGCCACCCTTCGTGCCACACCCACATCCATCAACTTAAAATCTCTCGATTTTCAAGCTCATCCTTTTTCTTCTTTTCTTCAAAAAATCTTCTCTCTCTCTCTTTTTGTTTATTTCTTTCGAAACGTTCGTCTGTTTCTTCGAATCTTACTTTAGTTCGTCTTTTATCGTTTTCTTATATCTTATTTTTCTTATCTTACTTTTGTAAACGAGATTCGAATAATGACGAGAGAACTCCCAAGGAAATCTTTTATTTCACTTCTCTCTTTGCTGTGTGTCGTTTTCACACGTTAGTCGACGAACATAAACGTATACTTACTGTACACTCGTATCGAAAATACGTTGTACTTCAAAAGAGTTAATTTCGTTGGGTAGGCACGTTAAAGTTTATAGTCCTACGTTAACAGAAACGCAGCCGTATTTCAAGTTTCATTTGGTTGTTCGCGATTCGCTTTTGGTAAGTTCGTTAAACATTCGAATATACTCGCAATGCCATCGCCAAAAATGGAAATTCGAATATGCGTCGGTTTTAGCGAACATATGTGGGATATTAAAACTCGAAATTGTAATAACAGCTTTCTCTCTCTTTATTTTCTTATTTTTTTTCACGAAAAAGAAAATACAAGAACTATGTTAACGCGTTGTAGCAACCTACTCTTGTCTGGGTAGAAATATGTAATCGTCGATAAGCATCAACATAAAGAATAAATGCAAACGAATCGGAGAATAGAGAGAGAAGGCTGTTTAACGTTTAATAAAATACGTACCTATCGAGCTATGTAATACTTATGTGCATCGCGTATCGCATGCTTACCGCACGATCGTTCGGACTCATTTTATCGTACTTTATTCCACCTATACTCATTCCGTACGAAAATATCTTTGTGAAAGAATAGCAGCTGATCGATCGTGTCGGTACTTTATGCTCGCTTTATCATCGATTTTATGGAAAAGATCGATTACAGTTTCGATTGTAAATTAGCATTACGCCGAAGGAAATGAATGGGTTTTTCTACGTGCGTTGAGCGTGTCGAGATATGGTTCTTGATCGTGCAAAAACGCTATTCTATGTAGCATTCAGTTTCATTTTTTTCTTCTCTCTATATGTACCTAATACTTTCAATATATATTGTGTTAAGTCTCGTAGAAGTTATCTTAGACGGTAACCTTCGAGAAGATATAAGGAAAGGCGAGAGGTAAAAAGAGAGACACGCAGGCGTTCTGGCACGTGGTGCAAAACTCATATTTATCATTAACCTCTGGTAGCTATGGGTAATTAAAGCTGTTCCCCGTACTCTGATCCAGATATTAATTAGGCGTTCGCGGACATCTTTCAACGACGGGCCACCACGTCGTATTGAGTACGCTTTGCGTTCCTTACTGTAATAAAGTTGTGTTTTCATCATTAATCGTCGACTGGCAGTATGCCCTCTCGCTCCTCGTTTGTGCGCATCGTTAGCAGCCCGTCTAAATACAGAAGAAGGAAGTCGCGTGAACGGACGTGAGTACATAAACGTTAGTATGTGAGGACGATAGGGCAGGTGTATTCGCTTGCAACAATTTGTCGGTCGATTCTTTTACGGTGCCTTTTAGGGCTACGCTCTTCTCTCCTCTCCTTTTATCTTATTGTCTCTTCTCTTCTCTTCTCTCCTTTCTTCGAGCAATTACGAAACGTACTTGAGGAATCAGTCAAACGACCGCTCGTTCCGTCACCTTGTCTCGTTTGCCAAGAAAAATATTTTAAGGCGAGGTATAATTAAGGACCAAGGGTTAATCGGTACGGTAATA